TCCGTAGTGATACTGCCTTGGAAACCCAAGGAGGGGTCGCTATGAGTCGGGTTTGACTCGACGGCACATAACAACAACAACAAACAGTTTTTAACCAGGGATGTATGATATTTTACTGGTAGAAATCTCAGAATAGTCATAAGTTACCTACACTCTCTCAAAATTATGTTCCAGAAGGTCTTGGGTGAGCTGGTTATGTGTGTTCTGAGAAGGACTCCAGTTAGTTCTGACAGCCATGTCTAGTTCAGATCCACTGCTTTAAATATCTGCAGAGATGGGTTCAAAGGAAATGGGAGACTTAGTAGGACCATCATCCAGGAGCATGGGATTGAATATAGGATGGGAAGGCAGGAGCATGTAGAATCACTACAAGACAACAAGCAGAACCCTATGAAGTTGAAGCAGAAAGCAATTTGATTTTCTCTGTCCATTCCTCTATGCTAAAATCTTCTTCATGGACTATTCTCCTTTCACTCTACCCCAACCCCCTACCATGGATGAAATTTCGGGCAGGTATCAGAAGTTCTCTGGTCATTCTGAGATACTCAAAATATGCTGGGTACTTTAGTTCCAAGAGTAGATTCATTTTAGTAATAAAAACTATCCAATCTCATGTAATGATAAGAACTCTGAACTTTAATAAAAATTTGTTGGTTTTTCCACATGAAAAATTTTCCATTTTCTACTTCTTTCTGAGTTATATTGGTTTCCTAAGTCTGCTGTATCAAAATACCACAAACGAGGTGACTTATAAGAAGAGAAATCTGTTGTCTTATAGTGCTGGATGCTGGGAGTACAAGACTGTCAGCTATGGTAATTCCTTCTCAGGCTTTGAGGGAGAATCTGGTCTATGCCTCTGTCTCAGTAAGGGTTCTCTGGAGAAACAGAACTAGTAAGGTGTGTGTGTGTGTATGTGTGCACACATGTGCATGCATGCGTGTGGGTTAATGAATTAGTTCATATAACTGTGGGGGCCTGGTAAGTCTAAAATCAGGAAACAAGCTGAAGATTCCTTCAGTCTTGTTTTCCAAAATCCATAGGTAAGTGACAAGAAGAGGGAAGAGTTCTGGCAACATGTGTATAGATTTATAGTCTGGAGACAGAATGCACCATAGGGAAAACTTCCTGTTTTGCTCTTAAGGCCTTCAATTGATTGGTTATGGCCCACCCACATTATGGAAGGTGACCTGCTTTACTTAGAACAAATGATTTGATCACAAGTAACAGCACCCAGACTAGTGTTTGACCTAAGAACTAGGCACCATATCCTAGCCAAATTGACACATAAAATTAACCATTACAGCCTCTGTCCTACCTTCTGTTAGCTCCTGGCAATCCTTCATTTGCAGCTGCAGTGTCACATGGCATACTTCATTTGTCTCCTCTGTCTCTGTGTATCTTTTCCACTTTTCCACTTTTATAAAGACATCAGTCATGTAGATTAGGACCCACCCTATCCAGTGTGAACTCACGTTAACCTAACTGCCAAAGACTGTATTTCCAAACAGGGTCATTGTGGTAGTTAAGTTTGTGTGTCAACTTGGCCAGGCCTGGTTGAATGCCTAAGCAGCTGGATGTAGTTATTCATGGTGAGATTGGTAATTAACTCCATGGTGAAATCTATTGGAGCAGCTGAGTAGCTATTTTAGGCATGGGGTCTGCTTCAAATACATGAGAAGCAACTTTGAGAAAGGTCTCCATCTTATGGCACGCTTGAACCATGCATGTAGCTGTGTCATTGTTCAGCAGCCTGCCATGCTCTGCCGATCTTGGGACTTTCAATGGATTTGAATTAGTGGCCTGCGGTGTGGTTTGGTAACATTGGGACTGTGCCTTTTTACTTTTCAACCTTGGGGCTTCTCAGCCTCAGCAGCTAGCAGTGTCTGAGTGAAGAAAAACCTCCAGCTCCAGTGGGCCAGGAGGAGGAGTAAGAGCTGAAGCCCAAGGTTGAGGGGCTTTTACCCAACCCCTAGAGCCTGGCACTTTGAAGTTCAACTTACAGCCTCCAAACTGTAAGAGAATAAACTCTTGTTTGTTCAAGCTATCCCATTTGTGGTATTTTCTGTTAGAGCAACACAGAGGTAACAAATATACTCATATTAACAGATACAGGGGTTATAATATCAACATATATTTTCAGGCGGGACACATTCAATCCATAATATTCTACCCTCTTGCCCTCAAAAGTCCACATTCTTCCCATGTGCGAAACGCATTCACCCATCCCCCAAAGTCCTAACGCATTCTGGCATCAACTCTAAGTCTGAAGTCTCATCTTCAAAATCATCTAAATCAGATATGAGTGAGATTCTGAGTATGTTCCATCATGGGGCAA